ATCCATGGCATAATGATTCATGAATAATATAAAAAGTTACCACCTTAAATTTGCTTGTGCCTGAAATCATCAGTTTATGGTGTGTAAATGTGTCTGTTATATATATTAGGCACGATCCAGTTGTCTTCTATGAACTCATCGGGAATATAATGAGTCTTTCCGGCAAAGCCGGCGACATAGCTTGAAATGTTTTAAACCGTGAAATTTCGTAATCTAAACAGCAGTACTTTGGCCATTACTGTCTGGTTCATTGTTTATAGACGTCGTTCAGAGAATATCTTAATTTGCGAGAAAATCTCAGGACGTTATTTCATTGATTTTATTTTATTTATTTATTTATTCACACATGAGCACACGTTACAATGAACAATTAAAGAGACGTGAAATAAAATAGCAGGGCTTCCAGGTGAATGCCCATATAAGCTAAAAAAGTTTCGCAGGCAACACAATAGGTACAAAACTCAATTCCAATGATTACAAGACGAGATTAGAACAAACAAGTAACAAATTTCTAAAAATAATCAAAACCATTGACAAAAGCCTTAAAAAATTGGTTAACCGCGCATGCTATAGTAGAAAAATCAGCATAGAAGAAACAATATCAACATTACACTTATTAAAACAGAGAACAACTGCAAACATCTAGCCAAAATGCCTACAACTTGCATAATAATAGAAATCAAATTAATACTGGTTAAGGATAAAATCACGGAATTTTATTTTTAAAAACATTGTGGAGCAATATTGTTTGAACTCATCTGGCAATTCGTTAGAATATTTGACACAATTAAAAACGGTACCTTTTTTCCATTTCTAAATGAACCGGTGGTAAGTTAATCGAACGCCCTTGGCGTTGTGAGAATGTTGTGGAACAATTAAGAGGGGGTGAAAGAAGATTTAAAAAGATGTTCATCATGGTAAAGTGCACTATTCATGAACTGTAAAAGTTGAAATCTGAACATATCATCAGGTTTTCAAGTTTTCGACCGCCTGTATAATTCGTTAGTGCATATCAAAGGAATATTATTATCGTCATACCTAACCCTAATCATAGAACGCAACGATTTATTTAATACTGTTATGACCCGTTTTTTTGTATTGAACGGTATACGTGACCCCAGATTCTAAATTACTTGATAGTTTTGATAAGGACAATGCGTAAAAAGCGTTTTTAATGAAGGGGAATGTAAAACATTTGATAAAGCACGCAGAACACCGTGGGCTTTACTCAGTTCCTGACAGACGTGGTTAACAGACGTGGTTAATGTGTTTATTGAAGGAGATCTTTTTATCTAGGATTGAACCAAGATACATGAATTCATCTACCCATTGAAGGTGATGTCACGTAAAACGGGAGTGGTCTGGGAATAAAAAGCATCAACTTGGTCTTGTCTGTATGTGCCACTAGCTTGTTTACATAGAAGCCATCTCGACAGATTCAATGACAGCTCTGATATATTGTCACACGCTTCGTCATACGAGTTTCTCGAGACATAGAACACGGCGTCATCGGCAAAAGCTTACAATTCATATTAAAAGATGAAGCGATATCATTAATAAAAATATTAATGAATAAAGGCCCAAGCACAGAGCCCTGAGGTACACCTATATTAATGGGCCTTAAGGGGGAATTGAACTCATTCAATTCGACGAACTGCTCTGTCCGTGAGGTAAGACTGAATAAGTGTAAGGAAAGTCCCCTTAACTCCATAACGGTGGAGCTTACCCAATAGTACTTGGTGATTTACACAATCGAAGGCTTTTTGTATGTTTAGAAAAAGCATAACACAGTATTCTATCGAATGATACGTCTTGAGAAGGTCTAGAACTAAATAAAATATAACCATGGTTGTGTTGGTTCCCTTACGGAAACCAAACTGATCATCAGAAATTATTCCACTAGATCATAGAATAAAGAGGATTAATTGGTCGCCAAATAACGCACTTATCAATCAATAAGTTTTAAATAGAAGACAGGAAGACAAAAGTCAAATAAAGACTATGATAAGTCGCGCCAATGATGGTAATTATTAAGCAATATCGTCATGATTGAATCTTTAAAGTAGTAGATATAGCCAAGAATTGTTGCAACAAATGATAGGCATTACAGGGACAATCTTAAAAATTAGGGTAGTCATATTCAAAGAAAGGCTCACAACTAAACATCAATATTTAACACTTAACACTTTTTCTGGCTCAACAGTGTACATAATATTGATATTGCTCAGAAGGCTGCTATAGACACAAAACTTTCCTACTAACTTGATACTGCACAACAATTATTCAAGTTAAATTATTATCGGAATGTGTAATTTTCCTGCTATTTATAACTTTTCAGCGAGTGATTACAAGCAAGTTAATAACATTCCCATAACAATGGACCCCGTGGTCGTAGTTGATTTTCTTAAGACATAATCGAATAGTAAACTTGTGGAAAAGATATAACTATGAAATGATGAAAAGTGATGAAAAAAAAGTAACTATGAAAAAAATGATAAAGTTATTATCAAGTGTTTTTTTTTTTTGTATCATAGAGAGTGAGAGAGAACAGAGTCGGGAATGTGAATTTCACAATGACAATTATTTAATCAATATTTCCTACTAAAAACGATCTTAAAATATCAAGCTTGTTTTAATTTTTTACTGAAACAATGTTGCTCAAAATACTGCCAAGATTTGTGTCTCTCGACATACTTCATACATTGCTGGAACCGAATTTTTGATCATGCCAGTGCAGGCACTTGCCGATAACGCGATGCGGAGATAATGCTCAAACATAAAGCAATGCTCTCATGAAATCAGTCTCTCGGTAGTAATATACACAACATTTTAGAACATTCTTATTTTGTACGGAAGTTGAGAATCGTAAATGGATAAAAAGTTTACGTAAATTTGATCGTCACGGTGACTTTGGGACATGTAAAATAGTTAAGGATTGCTCAAAGCAGGAAATATCTTCGAATTAACATCGAAGGTAATTTATTCAATATTACTCAAGTCACGTGGTGCAAATAACGAGTGGTTCGCGAAAATGTCAATTGTTTTTGAAAAGTCAATATTCATACAAGAACATTCAAATTTTTATTGTGTGCGCAGCTTTGAAAGGTAAGGTACAATGAGAAATGTTCCTGTATTAGTCAAGCGCGTTGACTTATGGATGATACACTTTTTTCAATAAGTGAAACATCCATTAGGGTCTCGAAAGATTATTAAAAATTGAGGTAACTCAATTCGTCACTTACACAGCTTTATTTTGTATGTGTCAATAAAATTTAAATGCAATAAATGGGTGAGTGTTTGGATAAAATAAATGGCTTTAAAAGGTAAGGTGACGAGTACGTTGGATATGACAAGCTCAACTGCTGACGACTATCAAAAAATATAATAAGGGCAGAACGTAATAATCACATTGTAAATAAAAGAGTCTTTGTTGAAGTAAATTCGTTTGAACTCAATATTCACAGGAACTTCAACTAATGAAATGAACACATTCATTTTACGAGTTATATATACAATGAAAATTTTACGTAAACTATTTTTAACGTTTAACAAGCATTTTGTAAGAGATTTTAATTCATTATAACTTCAAGATTTATAGATAAACGCACATAATCCACAAAATGTCATTCCTCAAAGAGACATAATTGTAAAACTTCATCCAACGGCATGTAGATAATATGCCGAAACTTGAAAGTAAAGTAAGCAAAGTAAAGTAAAGTGATATAGCTGAGTGGCAAATACATTTGTTTATTAAAAGAAATGAATGGAATAACGATCGACATGTGACAATACAAATGAACAATTTTTGAGCTTCTATTGTATGTTAATTTAAGTAAAATTACCATTCAATAAGATCATTGTAACTTTAAAGAACTATAGTGTTTCTACGTGAGATCGAGATGTTATGTGGTCCAGCAACGTTTGGTGTTCTCAGTCTGGATGTTATAGCCGGTATGAAAGGTCCTGCCTCCCACTGTTTTATAACGCGAGTCCACAGTTTTCGTGCATTTCAAAACCTTCGTTATTCGCTCCTTAATATTGTATCTAATATTGTCTGTGATATGTTTATACTTTCTACACGACCTCTCTAAAGAGATATAATAATTAGCATCGAGAGTACTGTGCTCCTTATATATTTGTCAGGGGGGAGGAAGAGAATGAAGAGGAAGAAGTTTAATGGAATAAGGAGCTCGATTTTCTGATGTAAGCTCGATTTTCTCAAGTCTCCTAATTGGAGGTGGGGGACGAGGCCGGTGAGAGGTGGAAGAAAGGAATCCCTGTCAAAATTTACGCGCGGCTATCCTTCCGATTTCGGTTGCGACTCTCGGATTAGAGATGAATCAGATGCGAAATGGCCGCCTCTTCTATTTAGCCGCCAAATAGGAGCTATTTTGAGTAGTTTCGTGGAAAAAAATATAAGGGNATAAATTATAATTTGGCTATATACATTACTCAAAACTGCTTTCATAACTGATTTGGTTCTGTATCATTTACAAAAAACTTGACATTGATTGCTAATATAAGGGACCAATAAGTTCTACCACTGTCTCTTATACACATCTAGATGTGTATAAGAGACAGCGATCGCCCCAAGCTCGACGAGTAATTTCACAAGATTCCATTTCGGCGCTTATTTCGCTCCGGCAACCGGAACCTAAAGCGGACATAGAGCTTCTAATTTACACCGTAACAAGAATTTGGGGCGTCCTTGTGCCAGCGGCTGACAGGAATAAAAGTTTCGATAGGGATGTTGAGGAGCCAGGTAGAGATGACATTAGAAGAACTCTGGCTTGCGCCTCAGTTGTGGTGTCATATCTACTGGTTGTAGGGCGGCAGTTGGTGCCTCAGCAGCTATAAAGTAGGTGAGTGCTGACGCCAGTTATCCGTTCCGTTGCTCTGGCGTGACTGGGTTTGGCCTCGCTTTTTCGAGCGTTACCCGAGGACGGCCAAGTCGTTGTAGTTGCTGCACGCCGCATTTATGTTTCCTGAAAATTCTTGGTCTTCAGTCAAACTTGCATAAAAGAGAAGCTTCAGCCGAACAACACCAAGTTTCCTAAAAAATGCTCTAATTCCATTCAACGCTATTTAATTACTTGTGATGATGGTTCTGATGAGAGAGTCGTGGAACAAAAATGAAATGTTTTATCAGCCATGGTATAAAAGTAAGCTCTTGTGATGCACATCAGAAGGCTTAATTTATTGAATGATCTGGTTTTTGGAGCTGGTAAATCATTGAAATAAATAAATTTTTTAATAAAATAACATTTTTTAAATTTTTTATTTCGTGTTGGTTTGATTTTGATTGATGTTCATCTATTTTTAGAACACTTCTTTATAACTTCACTCCTTGTTTGTCTGTCTGTCTATTTGTTTGTCTGCTACAAATCTTGTAATCGATATTTAACACACATCTACTTATACTATCGATCTGAAATTTTGCACACTTGCGTAAAGTTGGAGACAATGCATGAATCAAATGACAAACTAAATAATAATTTTTCTTTCAATATTAAAAAATTGAAAAAATAATTTTGTCAGCGACAAATCTTATACATGATATTTGACACACTTTTACCTGTCCAATTGATTTGAAATTTTGCACACTTGTGTGAAGTTGGAGACAATGCATGAATCAAATGGCAAATAAATGATTTTAGAAATATATGTGTTTCGATATTAAAAAAAATTGAAAAAATAATTTTGTCAGCTACAAATCTTATGATTGATATTTGACACACTTTTACTTGTCAAATTGATCTGAAATTTTGCACACTTGTGCGAAGTTGGAGGCAATGCATGAATCAATTGACAGAATAAATAATTTTGAAAAAATTATATATTAAAAAATTAAAAAAAATAATTTTTTCAATATTAGAAAATAAAATTAGAAATTCATTGTACATCTGTAACATTGGAAACACTGGATTCTTCAGAAGTATTGTCTTTAAAAAGTAATTTTTAAACGCATATTATTAACGATTGAATTTTGACAAATGCAAATGGTGGGCGGATATCCCAGTTCTCACCATCCCAAACACTAGCAAGAACTATTATGAGTAAAGGTGCTAATTTTGTGTTGAAGAACTTAGGCCCGGACACACTTTTCAGCCAAGCGAGATCTTCTCATTACACCGAAATGAATCACTCACTGCAATCTTGCCGGATATCATGAATATGTCACGACAGATAGTATCTTAGTTACGTATTACTTGCACCAGCAAATGTCAGTCATTAATTCACTCGAACAATAAGGTATGCAAATATTTATAGGCTTACCGTTATCGTTGATGTTTCATTTTTTCTCATATACTCGGAGAATCACTTGCGCACGAACAGGTACTGCTCCTGCAATAGTATTCAAAATATGGCACAGTTGAAGAAATTGTCTTATACGAGCAGAACTATTCCCGTTTTGCATTGCATGAGATGTTATGACCTCGGATTTCGAATTCTTACTTCATACTATATACGTAACACCTCCGGGAATTTTTTTCGTTTGGAATAAATGTACCAATCAGTAGCATCATTAATTATTCACGTTCGTATATTTTACTGTCGAGAGACGCAGCAGAAACATCGGTACTTATAAAGTAGAATGAGGGCTTTCTAGTTTTGTAATTACTTCAAACAAATTTATTTAAAATCTGACCTCAATCAGGACCTCACCTCAGGCTTGATCCTGCCATGGATAGACTTGACCTTATCTTAGATTTTACCTCATCTTAGATTTGACTTAACCTTAAACTTGACCTCACCTTAGATTTTACCTTATCGTTAAACTTGACCTCACCTTGGACTTGACCCCACCTTAGATATGACCTCATCTTATATTTGACTTCATCTTGGATTTGATCTCACCTCAGATTTGGCCTCACCTTAGACTTGGCCTCGCAGTAAACATGACCTCACTTTATATTATTTGACCTCAACTCAGGCTAGATCTCACCTCAGACTTGACCTCACCTTAGACTGGACGAGCAAGTTCCTGTCTTCCCTGATCTTGAGGATGGTCGCGTCGATGTCGATGGGGGCGCCCCGCTGGTGCTGCTGCTGGAGGTTCCACAGCGCGATGAAGGTGCCCGTCCTGCCCACCCCCGCACTGTTGTTGTCACAAGAAATCATTTTATTAACTCAACAGATTTATTGAAAGACTATCATTGCAAAGTAGCTAAAAAAGAATTGCTTACTAATTACACACAAAAATTGAAAATATTGATTGTATAGTGAAGAATCATTATTTACAGAAGTATTAACTCTGCCCAAATTTGAAATTATTGTTGATAAATTATATTCAGATGAGCAGAAAAATAAAGGATACTGAAGAAGCATCGAATATGCATGGAAATCGTAAGTCACTAAAGTAATTAAAACTATGATTCGAGTACCAAATGGAGAATCAAATTATAACTTATTATTTAATTCAATATTCTCATGTAGAAGTAGACATGCTTCTGAGCATTCCTTTCTAATCAATTGTTATATATTTTTCTGGATGAATGCATGATATATTCAGTTTATAAAATTTAAATGTGTATCGATTAATATGATCTAATAAAATTCACTGTTTACCATTTCCTAAATGAAACTATAGTTCGATATATGCAACATTGCTCCATGCAGTGCAAAGATGCAGTGCACATGCGTAATATTTCAATCGATGTCATGAGAATTTACTTGAAAATGGCACTTTTCAAATTGAAAATATTAATCAATATTGAAAATATTAAAAATATTACACATACACTTTTACTATTCACATCAAACTTAATGATTTTTTAAGACCATATTTGTTTGTTATATAATTCTCCCTATGCATTATCATCACCTGCAGTGTACAAGGATGGGGGCAAGAGACTCTGTCTCCCCGACATGCGCCCTGACGCGGCTGATGAGCCTCAGCAAAGCGGCCTCGGACGCCGGCACGTTGAAGTCGGGCCACGACGTGAAGTGCAGCTGCACGACCTCTCTGGCAGGGCTTGGCTGTGAGGAAGAAAATTAAACTTGTTGGTATAACTTCAGTACCTGCACTCGAAGACATGAATGGGATATATTGCCGGAAATTTGACGCATTTTCTTATCCAGGGTACAAGCAGAGAGCCAAATAGGCAATGATACACCCTTTTACCGGATTAAATTTAGTATTAACGACACACATAAGGGTAACATATGCATCTCTATTTGGACAAAGTCTCGCTCATTTTTCTGAGAGTGATTTGAACTACTGATTTTGAATTTATGAGAAATACGGGAGAGAAACAGCTCAAATTGAGAATATTAGGTTTAGTCCTAAGCTCTAAAACGTTGTTAGTTGTTCTTGCCAAATTCCGCTGCAAAACGTCAGGTCCCGATGTGTCTCGAATCAATATGTTGAATTACATTTTCAGCATCTTAAAGTTCTAAAAGTTTTTGCATTTATAAAGTTATAACTATAATTTTTAACTTCATAGCTAGATAATAACGAAATATGCTGAAAGTTTGGAGTCAAAAATCACATATCCCGTTTTTTTTGAAGTGAACGGTACACCCCCCAGATTCTAAATTGCTTGATAGTTTTGATAAGCACAATGCGTAAAAAAGCGTTTTTAATGAAGGGGAATGTAAAACATTTGATAAAGCACGCAGAACTCTGTGGGCTTTACTCAGTTCCTGACAGATGTGATTAATGTGTATATTGAAGGATATCTTGTTATCTAGGATTAAACCGAGATACCTGAATTCATCTACCCATTGTAATATTGTCCCATTGAAGGTGATGTCACGTAAAACGGAAACGGGTCTGAGAGTAAAAAGCATCAACTTGGTCTTGTATGTATGTACCACTAGCTTGTTTGCTAGAAGCCATCGCGACAGATTCAATGACAGCTCTGATATATTGTCATACGCTTCGTCATACGAGTTTCTCGAGACATAGAACACGGCGTCGTCGGCAAAAAGCTTACAGTTCACATTAAAAGATGAAGCGATATCATTAATAAAAATATTAAAGAATAAAGGCCCAAGTACAGAGCCCTGAGGTACACCTATAATTGATGGGCCTTATATATAAGGGGGGAATTGAACTCATTCAATGCGACGAACTGCTCTCTGTCCCTGAGGTAAGACTGAATAAGTGTAAGGAAAGTCCCCCTAACTCCATAACGGTGGAGCGTATACCAATAGTTCTTGGTGATTCACAATATCAAAGGCCTTTTGTAGGTCCATAAAAAGCATAACACAGTATTCTTTCGAATGATACGTCTACAGAAGGAAGGATGACTTATCCTCCTTTCGAAGGAGGATACGTCAGTGATCGGGATACACACCACAGGACATACATAGGTTAAAAATATGAGCCAAAGCTGGAGCTACAGTGTCAGCTACAAGATACAATATTCTTGGCTGAACTTCATCGATCTGAATTGGCTTGCATGCCTTTGCACAACCGTGAAAATTTCTTAATTTTAAGTTCAGAAGTAGGGAAAAGGAAGCAAGTTGCCTCGCAGATGGCGCCATTTCAAAATAAAAGAACGTCACCAAGTGGTCAGACAAGTCACAATCAGTAACAGCAGATTCGGGATTGGATCCAAATGAAAAGTTACACCAAATGTGGTCAAGTAACGAGTATGGAGTAATAGTATTTTGGGGAGAGATTCTGGTAGGTTTGGTTTTAACTGGATAAAAATTACTACACAGGATGCCATGAATAAAATTGTAATAAAATTGTTGGTTGAGCATAAATTTAGAGGGTTGTATAGATTTATATTAAAGTCCCCACAAAGAAATGCCTTACTAGTTTCCTTTATTTTTGAGAGAACCTCGACTTTAAATAGTTCATTGAAGGTTAGTACGCTGTTAGAAGGCAGTCTATTAATGCAAAATATAGAAAGCTCAAATACAGGCAAGCTGACACTAAGACTCAGGAGTTCATAATCATTTTTCACCCAAGTGAAATCGCTATTAACCCTCGCGCTGATATTTTAAGTTCAGAAGTAGGGAAAAGGAAGCAAGATGCCTCGCAGATAGCGCCATTTCAAAATAAAGAACGTCACCAAGTGATCAGACAAGTCATAATCAGTAACAGCAGATTCGGGATTGGATCCAAATGAAAAGTTACACCAAATGTGGACGAGTAACGAGCATGGGGTATAATAGTATTTTGGGGAGAGATTCTGGTTGGTTTGGTTATAACTGGATAAAAATTACTACACAGGATGCCATGAATAAAATTATAATAAAATTGTTGATTGAGCATAAATTTAGAGGGTTGTATAGATTTATATTAAAGTCCCCACAAAAAAATACCTTACTAGTTTCCTTTATTTTTGAGAGAACCTCGGCTTTAAATAGTTCATTGAAGGTTCGTACGCTGTTAGAGGGCAGTCTATAAACGCAAAATATAGAAAGCTCAAATACAGGTAGGCTGACAGTAAGACTCAGGAGTTCATACTCATTTTTCACCCAAGTGAAATCGCTATTAACCCTCGCGCTGAACTTGTCGTCTACGTAGGCAGTTATATCTCCCCCATGGCTGTTGCCATAAATACTATCCACAGAGTAACCAGGAATATTGAACGATTGATCAGAGTTTGGACTCAGCCATGTTTCCGTTATACTAAAATGATAGTAAATTTAAAATTCACTGAGCAAAGAAAAAACATATAATAATCACAATTTTTATGAATACTCTTAATATTAAAACGCATCAAAGAGAAAGATTCATTGGTAAAACAGGGCATGGGTAAAACAGTTCTTCAGGAAGGACAGCATCTTGCTCACTTTTTCCGTCATCGAGACACTGCCAACACCAACGGATGCCACCGAGCAAGTGGAACTAGTAGCACTTTCGGCATCACTTGCCATCACTGTCAGTTCAAATAAGTGGATAATTCAGGAATGAGCAACGCACAACCTCACTCAAAGACAGACCGGGGTCGAATAAACATTATTATAAGGAATGGTCAAAAATTTTGTATGAAATAAAATGGGAAACATAATTGGGAATGGAGGACAAGTTTTGCCCACATGATTAATATGAGTCCAGGAGCCATGGTCTTAGATTACTAGATCATAGATTAAGGATTAATTGGTCGCCAAATAGCGCACTTATCAATCAATAAGTTTTAAATAGAAGACAGAAGTCAAATAAAGACTATGATAAGTCGCGCCAATAATGGGAGGTATTAGGCAGTATCGGCATGATTAAATCTTTCAAGTAGCCAAGAATTGTTGCAACAAATGATAGGTTTTACAGGGACAATCTTAAAAATTAGGGTAGTCATATTCAAAGAAAGGCTCACAACTAAACATCAATATTCAATATTTTAACACTTTTTCTGGCTCAACAGTGTACATAATATTGATATTGCTCAGAAGGCTGCTATAGACACAAAACTTTACTACTAACTTGAAATTGTACAACAATTATTCAAGTTAAAATTATTATCGGAATGTGAATTTTCCTGCTATTTATAACTTTTCAGCGAGTGATTACAAGCAAGTCAATAACATTCCCGTAACAATGGACCTCGTGGTCATAGTTGATTTTTTAAGACATCATCGAATAGCAAACCTGTGGAAACGGCATAATTATGAAATTATGAAAAATGAATTATATTATCCAGTGTTTTTTTTTTGTATCATAGAGAGGGAGAGAGAACGGAGTCGGGATTGGGAATTTCACAATGACAATTACTTAATCAATATTTCCTACTAAAGACGATCATAAATCTTCAGCTTGTTTAAATTTTTTACTGAAACAATATCGCTCAAAATACTGCCAAGATTTGTGTCTCACGACATTCTTCATACATTGCTTGAATCAAATTTTTTATCATACCGGAGCTGGCGCCTGCTGATAACGCGATACGGAGATAATGCTCAAACATAAAGCAATGCTCTCATGAAATCAGTTTCTCGGGAGTAATATACACAACATTTTAGAACATTCTTATTTTGTACGGAAGTTGAGAATCGTAAATGGATAAAAAGTTTACGAAAATTTGATCGTCACGGTGACTTTGGGACATGTAAAATAGTTAAAGATTGCTCAAAGCAGGAAATACCTTCGAATTAACATCGAAGGTAATTTATTCAAAATTACTCAAGTCACGTAGTGCAAATAACGAGTGGTTCGCGAAAATGTTAATTGTTTTTGAAAAGTCAATATTCATACAAAAACATTCAAGTTTTTATTGTGTGCGCAGCTTTGATAGGTAAGGTACAATGAGAAATGTTCCTGTGTTAGTCAAGCACGTTGACATATGGATGAAACACTTTATTCAATAAGTGAAACATCCATTAGGGTCTCGAAAGATTATTAAAAATTGAGGTAACTCAATTCGTCACTTACACAGCTTCATTTTGTATGTGTCAATAAAATTTAAATGCAATAAATGGGTGAGTGTGTGTTTGGATGAAAAAATTGTTTTTAAAAGGTAAGTTAATGAGTACGTTGGATATGACAAGCTCAACTGCTGACGACTATCAAAAAATATTATGAGGGCAGAACGTAATAATCACATTGTAAATAAAAGAGTCTTTGTAGAAGTAAATTCATTTGCACTCAATATTCACAGGAACTTCAACTAATGACATGAACACATTCATTTTACGAGTTATATATACAACGAAAATTTTCCGTAAACTATTCTTAACATTTAACAAGCATTTTGTAAGAGGTTTTAATTCATTATGTCATCAAGATTTATAGATAAACGCACATAAGCCACAAAATCCCATTCCTCAAAGAGACATAATTGTAAAACTTCATCCAACGGTATGAAAATACTATGCTGAAACTTGAAAGTAAAGTAAGTAAAGTAAAGTAAAGTGATATAGATGAGAGGCAAATACATTTGTTTATTAAAAGAAATGAATGGAATAACGATCGACATGTGACCATACAAGGGAACAATTTTTGAGTTTCTATTGTATGTTAATTTAAGTAAAATTACCATTCAATAAGATCATTGTAACTTTAAAGAACTATAGTGTTTCTACGTCAGATCGAGATGTTATGTGGTCCAGCAACGTTGGGTGTTCTCAGTCTCGATGTTATATCCGGTCTGAAAGGTCCGGCCTCATACTGTTCTATAACGCGAGTCCACAGTTTTCGTGCCTTTCAAAACCTTCGTTATTCGCTCCTTAATATTGTATCTAATATTGTCTGTGATATGTTAATACTTTTTATACGATCTTTCTAAAGAGATATAATAATAAGCATCAAGAGTACTGTGCTCCTTATACATTTGTCAGGGGGTAGGAAGAGAATGAAGAGGTCGAAGTTTAATGGAATAAGGAGCTCGATTTTCAGATGTGGATTCAAGTCTCCTAATTGGAGGTGGGGGATGAGGCCGGTGTGAGGTGGAAGAAATGAATGTTGATGAGCGAAGTGGAGATGGCATTAGAAAAACTCAGGCTTGTGCCTCAGTTGTGGTATCATATCTACTGGTTGTAGGGCAGCAGTTGGTGCCTCAGCAGATGAAGTAGGTGAGTGCTGACGCCAGTTATCCGTTGCTCTGGCGTGACTGGGTTTGGCCTCGCTTTTTCGAGCGTGACCCGAGGACGGCCAAGTCGTTGTAGTTGCGGCACGCAGCATTTATGTTTCCTGAAAATTCTTGGTCTTCAATCGAACTTGCATAAAAGAGAAGCTTCTGCCGAACTACACCAAGTTTCCTAACAAATTCACTAATTTAATTGAATGCTATTGAATTACTTGTGATGATGGTTGTGATGAGAGAGTCATGGCTCAAAAATGTTGAAAGTAAATGTTTTCTCAGCCATGGTATCAAAATAAGCTCTTGTGATGCGCATCAGAAGGCTTCGGGTATTGAATGATCTGGCTTTTGGAGCTGGTAAATCATTGAAATAAAGAATTTTTTAATAAAATAGCCTTTTTTAAGTATTTTATTTTATTCTGGTTTAATTTTGATTGATGTTCATCTATTTTTAACGATTGAAGTTTGACAAATGCAAATGTTGATCGGATATCCCAGTTATCACCATCCCAAACACTGGCAAGAACTATATCAGTGAGGGTGCCAATTTTGTCTTGAAGAACTTTGGCCCAGACACACTTTTCAGCCAATGACATTGCATGAATCAAATGGCAAAATAAATCATTTTAGAAATATATTTGTTTCGATATTAAAAAAATGAAAAAATAATTATTTCAGCTACAAATATTATGATTGATATTTGACACACTTTTACCTGTCCAATTGATCTGAAATTTTGCTAACTTGTGTGAAGTTGGAGGCAATGCATGAATCAATTCACAGAATAAATAATTTTGAAAAAAAATTATATATTAAAAAGTTTAAAAATAATTTTTTTAATATTCGAAAATAAAATTAGAAATTCATTGTACTTCTGTGACATTCGAAACACTGTATTCTTTAGAAGTGTTGTCTTTAAAAAGTAATTTTTAAACCCATATTATTAACAATTGAATTTTGACATATGCAAATGTTGGGCGGATATCCCAGTTCTCACCATCCCAAACACTAGCAAGAACTATTATGAGTAAAGGTGCTAATTTTGTGTTGAAGAACTTTGGCCCAGACACACTTTTCAGCCAAGCGAGATCTTCTCATTACACCGAAATGAATCACTCACTGTAATCTTGCCGGATATCATGAATATGTCACGACAGATAGTATCTTAGTTACGTATTACTTACACCAGCAAATGTCAGTCATTAATTCACTCGAACAATAAGGTATTCAAATGTTTATGTAGGCTTACCGTTAGCGTTGATGTTTCAATTTTTTCTCAAATACTCGGAGAAGCACTTGCGCACGAACAGGTACTGCTCCTGCAATAGTATTCAAAATACGGCACAGTTGAAGAAATTGTCTTATATGAGCAGAACTATTCACATTTTGCATTGTATGAGATTTTATGACCTCGGATTTCGAATTCTTACTTCATACTATATACGTAACACCTCCGGAAATTTTTTTCGTTTGGAATAAATGTACCTATCAGTTGCATTATTAATTATTCACGTTCGTATATTTTACTGTCGAGAGACGCAGCAGAATCATTGGTACTTATAAAGTAGAATAAGTGCTTTCTAGTTTAGTAATTATTTCAAACAAATTTATTTAAAATCTGACCTCAATTAGGACCTCACCTCAGGCTTGATCTCGCCATAGACTTGACCTAATCTTAGATTTGCCCTCATTTTAGATTTGACTTAACCTTAAACTTCACCTCACCTTAGATTTGACTTATCGTTAAACTTGACCTCACCTTAAAGTTGACTTCACCGTAGATTTGACCTCACCTGAGATTTGAAATCACCTTAGATTTGACTTCACCTTAGATTTGACTTCACCTTAGATTTGACTTCACCTTAGATTTGACCTCACCGTAGATTTGACCTCACCTCAGACTTGACCTCGCTCCTAACTTGACCTCACCTTAGACTTGACTTCACCTCGGACTTGACTTCACCTCAGGCTTGACCTCACCTCAGACTTAACCTCACCTCAGGCTTGACTTCACCTCAGACTTGACCTCAACTTAAACTTGACCTCACCTTAGACTGTACGAGCAAGTTCCTGTCTTCCCTGATCTTGAGGATGGTCGCGTCGATGTCGATGGGGGCGCCCCGCTGGTGCTGCTGCTGGAGGTTCCACAGCGCGATGAAGGTGCCCGTCCTGCCCACCCCCGCACTGTTGTTGTCAGAAGAAATTATTTTATTAACTCAATCGATTTCTTGAAAGAATATCATTAGAAAGTAGCTAAAAAAGAACTGCTTTCTAATTACACACAAAAGTTTAAAATATTGATTGTATAGTAAAGAACCATTATATACAGAAGTATTAACTCTGCCCAAAGTTGAAATTATTGTTGATAAATTATATTCAGATGAGCAGAAAAATAAAGGATACTGAAGAAGCATCGAATATGGAAATCGTAAGTCACTAAAGTAATTAAAACTATGATTCGCGTACCAAATGGAGAATCAAATTATAACTTATTATTTAGTTCAATATTCTCATGTAGAAGTAGACATGCTTCTGAGCATTCCCTTCTAATTAATTGTTATATATTTTTCTGGATGAATGCATGATATATTCACTTTATAAAATTTAAATGTGTATCGATTAATGTGAGCTCATAAAATTCACTGCGTACCATTTCCTAAATGAAACTATAGTTCGATTTATGCAACATTGCGCCATGCAGTGCACAAAGACATTCGTTAACATGCGTAATAATTCAATCGATGTCATGACAATTTACTTGAAAATGGCACTTTTCAAATTGAAAATATTAATCAATATTGAAAATATTACACATACACTTTTACTATTCACATCAAACTTAATGATTTTTTAAGACCATATTTGTTTGTTATATAATTCTACCTATGCATTATCATAACCTGCAGTGCACAAGTATGGGGGCAAGAGACTCCGTCTCCCCGACACGCGCCCTGACGCTGCTGATGAGCCTCAGCAAAGCGGCCTCGGACGCCGGCACGTTGAAGTCGGGCCACGACGTGAAGTGCAGCTGCACAACCTCTCTGGCGGGGCTAGGCTGCGAGGAAGAAAAGGTAAACTTGTTGGTATAACTTCAGTACCTGTTCGTCTCAGGCCAGTACATGCAACATTTTTCCTGCAAAGTACAAAAGACATTGCGCATGATTCTTTGATACATGCAGAAATTGATACATGCAGAAATGTCAGCACTACAATATTATAGTTTTTCCAAAGCTTAGTTATTGGTGTACATGAAGCCTTGAACAGTATATATATCGGAACAGTTCGGGCGCGTCTCCACGCTACATGTCGTGTCGGGATAATACCTGGACCTGAAATTTTATTCTTTGTTCTGTGCATTGCAAACGTCAGAGGAAAAGATTGGATGCGAATGGATATTAAATTTTAACTTGATATATATAAATCTTATTTCGGGATAACGGGATAATATTTGTCGGGATAACTTGATTAAAAATGCAGACACTCGCAGACTTGATGCACGAAAAATTGATTTAGACTTTTAAAACTATACAGCAATGTGTGAGGTAGGGAATCACGTGTATATTGACGTCGAAATGTACAGGGCCCAGAGAGAATGAACTAATAAAATAGGAAATAATATAAATAACTATAGAATAATAATGAACTAATAGAATTAGTAGAAATTCGTACCTTTCCTTTCTCGTAGCAGTCCGTTAACATGACAATAAATTGGACTTGCTCCTGCCAGACCATGTGCCAGAAGTCCGGCACAGTCCCAGGCTTCGGTCCCTGGCACGCGATGAAGCGCACGCTGCCGACGGCGTCCTATCGTTGCCGTTATTGAATTATGATTATTTTCGAAGAAAAAGTTAACAATCAGACTGATTGAGAATATTTTAACAATTTTGACGGTCGTTAGAATGCACTAATAGCTAATAATCTAATAGCTTCTAATGACTTAATGTTTATGGAAGCACATCGATAATCCCGTATACTTATTACTATGAGTTAAAAGTAAAAAAAAGTAAAAAAGTATATTGTTTTATAACTTATGCATCTGATTCAATTGTTCTGTTGGTCTATATACTGTCGTGCTGATAAAGTATGTTCTTGCTGCTTTGTATCTCCCGCTCTATAAATTTCATATTTTGTGCCTGAATTTCACCTAATACTTATGGAATAAATTTGAACTGTTGAAGGCTTCAGTAATTTCGTTAATTTTATACATGACTATTTTTCAAAATAAGCGATAATTTATTTGCAGATCAAACAACTGAAGAGCGACCTTAACATAGCTGGCGTTGATGTAGTCGGTGCTCCACTCGCCTTGTAGTTTGACTCGCGTGTCGTTAACTGCACAGTTAAAAATAAATACCAAAACAATTGCAGTAATTCGGCATTTGATAATATATGCAATTGATTTCGTGAAAAAATCAAAGACGGACTTGGATTCGAATAATCTGTAGTTAATTTGCTACTTTAATAAGTTTTAAGCAACAACCAATGTGCTTGGAAGCGTCTGTTTCATTTAAGTTGTAAAAAGGCCGTTGTTTAAATTCCTGAATAACGTGGCTAAGTTTAAGAATGAGAAAAGAGAGATAACTGCAACAAAAAAGCAATACGGGTCTATAGTTGTATAATTGCCTTATTAATTTATAACGAGAAATTTATTTCATAATTTCAGAAACAATCAGTTTTAGAAATAATGAACAATGCAATAACCACTAACGAGGTAGTATGTCCTGGTAGCGATTTCTAGCGATATTCAATGAAAAATGCAGTAACGACTTCAATGCAATAACGAACAATGCAATAACGACATTCAATGAACAACGCAATAACAATGCAATAACGACAATGCAATAAATAATGAACAATGCAATAAGCACTAACAAGGTAGTATATCCTGGTAGCGATTTCTAGCGACATTCAATGAACAATGCAATAACAATGCAATAACGACAATGCAATAACGACAATGCAATAAATAATGAACAATGCAATAACCACTGACAAGGTAGTATGTCCTGGTAGCGATTTCTAGCGATATTAGGACGGCTGGCAGCCTCGTCCGTGGGAGCGACTCTGCTTCTCGACCTCAGAGCGGCGAAGGCTGTCGTCAGCTCACGAGGATCTTTCAACGGCTAAGTAAATAAAGCATTAAGAAATAAACGATTAAAATTTTAACTTAATGATATTTTATATCTAAACTAGAAAATAACTTACAATCGAAATATAATCGACATAGGTGGAACTTGCTTCCATGAATTTCATCGTATAATGATTTCATGGACTAGATTTTTGATAAGAATTGAACTTCATTTAGATACTTTTATTTGGAACGTCTTTTTCCCTTTAATTTCAGTTGTTGTTTTTCTTTTTCTGATAGCCTCTGTTTACCAGAATATTCATTATGACAGTTGGCATTTGATAACTTTTGTTTCAAGTAGTATACTTATATTTATCACATCTACTCAATTACACGTTTCAGGTATGAAACTACTTTTTAGACTTTTATTCCGTTTTAAAACGTTGGGTTGACCTCCAAGGTAGCCGTCACATGTCAGTGCAGTTTTGCAATACAACTTCACTTGAAAGTCAACCAAATTTAAAGGTTCAGATTGATGAGTTGAATAATTCAACTAGGGTTTAACTTTAACCCTTATATCATTATATCAGTGTTGATACTGTCGTTTTTTCTTGACTCTCCTGAGACAGTCCGATCTACGGAAACTAGTATGAATAATAGCCATATTTCATATGGAAAATCTTAAGTTATTTTCCAACATTTTATTTTTGGTCACCTTTATGAGGTCTAGCTCATTCTCCATCCACTGTAATCACAGGCTTTAGCTCAAGCACCCCTTTCAGGGGTTTATTATTTTTTGTATGCAAATGAGCAACATGGACTTTACTTCAGCTCCACAGATCGTTACCTGCTTAATTGTTTGAAGTAGTCCTGTTGCAAGTTCATTTTGTTCAGTGGACCTGAAATGAAAGAAAATAAATATCCTCATTTTCAGAATACGAACATACTGAACCACTACGAGGAAAATTATTTTTCTATCTATAAAGTCTTTTTTTACAAATATTTACCTGATTTATTTCTAACTCAAATTAAAATAGCAGCACTGAAAGTTTCCTCCCCCAGACCCTAAAGGGCGACTTTGGTAGAAAAGCAAACAGCCTAAAACGGAGTTTGCTCTAATTATTTTCGTTTGAGGAACGAAAACAATCTAATTAGAGCTCGGAGTTTTAGGCTGTGCTGAGGCCACCTCTTCCCCAAACTTTATTACGCGGGCAGTGCTGCGATTGAGAGAGCATGCAGGCCGCGCCGACACCGCGGCGCCGCTCAAGGTCAACGGAAGGAAAGCTGGCGATGGCGGAAATCTATTCCGCAGAGCTTTCTTCCTTTTTCTTTACTGATACGATTGAATTCGAGGAAGAAACAATCCAAAAGATCAAATAGAGCTTTCAACATGTTAAAAGCAAACAGCCTAAAACTCCGAGCTCTAATTAGATTGTTTTCGTTCCTCAAACGAAATTTTTTAAAAAGTTGGGTTGACCTCCAAGGTAGCCGTCACATGTCAGTGCAGTTTTGCAATACAACTTCTGTTGAAAGTCAACCGAATGAAAAGGTTCAGATGGATGAGTTAAATAATTCAACTAGGGTTTAACTTTAACCCTTATATCATTATATCAGTGTTGATACTGTCGTTTTTTCTTGACTCTCCTGAGACAGTCAGATCTACGGAAACTAGTATGAATAATAGCCATATTTCATATGGAAAATATTTAGTTATTTTCCAACATTTTATTTTTGGTCACCTTTATGAGGTCTAGCTCATTTACCATCCACTGTAATCACAGGCTTTAGCTCAGGCACCCATTTCAGTGGTTTATAATTTTTTGTATGCAAATGAGCAACATGGACTTTACTTCAGCTCCACATATCGTTACCTGCTTAATTGTTTGCAGTAGTCCTGTTGCAAGTTCATTTTGTTCAGTGGAACTGAAATGAAAGAAAATAAATATCCTCATTTTCAGAATACGAACATACTGAACTACTACGAGGAAAATTATTTTTCTATCTATAAAGTCTTTTTTTTACAAATATTTACCTGATTTATTTCTAACTCAAAATAAAATAGCAGTACCTCTGTTGTAATTATCTAATTCTAAATGCCATAATGGCTAATGACCAATTACATCATGCTTCTGGAATTCATTGCGTGAGAAAATGATCCTACGTTTCTCGGAAATCGGATGTCGGTGATTGGAACTTT